GGTTTTGGACATTGGTAACTTGGAAACAAGTATTTCTTGATGTCAAAACAATTTGATCGAAATGGCCTGATTTTCGATGTCAATTTCGATTCGATGAGTTTTCGATGACATCGACATCGAAACGACGTCGATTCGACATCAGCCTTCTCACTGGGTACTTGGGTACCTGGGTTTTCCGAGCACTACTTTATAACCTTGCAAAAAGGTTGAAAACGCTATAATTCACCGGCCGGTGGAATAAAATGAAAAAAAATGCACTGAAAGAAGATCTCGAAGATCTCACCGAACAAGATCTCCTCGTATAAAAGTCTCAAGTTTTTATAAAAATAGATTTTTTATGCTAAACAACGTATGTCATACGTTAGAAGCATAAAACAGATTTAAAAAGAATCCCATTAAGATGATAATTATACACTCAAGCGCATATTAAAACTGTTGAATTTAGTTTGCGCTCCTAATAAAGGTAGCCTTGCGTATTTGGCACTGAAGCCTAAGCATGGTTAGCATATTATGGGATGGCGGTAGCATCTCGTTCGCGCTCAGCCCTCGTGCGGTTCGATTCTCACTCTATCTTCATTCGTTGTCTCGAATAAGTATCGTCCTCGTTGTAAAATAGAAAATAAAGTATAATTCAGTTGGTTAAACTACCGATTCTCTCAATCTAGTCAAGCAAAATTCCAACAAAAACTAATCTCTATATTGGCAAAAAAACACGCGGCATTTACACGCTAACTGATTTACGGAAATGTAAGCCAACAAACACTGAAAATGTACTGAAAAATGTGTTCCAGTAGTGTAGTAATAGCAAAACAGTTGTTGCAGTGAACTGTTATGACGTCACGATTACTGCGCTGCCAGTAAAAACGGAACACAGGGGAAAATGAGCAATTGTAAGCACGAGTCATGACGTAATGATGACGTCATGAATGCATGAGCGTTTATAACGCCAAAAGGAACGATAAGTATAAGCGAAGCTTATAACTCATATGTCCATTTCTACCAATGTAGATTAACTTTAATCACGGTTTTATTTACTTCTTATCTTTA